AAGAAAAATTTCGAATTCACAGAACTGTTGTATATTGATGGGCCTATTGCTGAGTAGGTTTGTAGCGGTGATTGCTGAGCCGTAGGCGTTCAATCAACAGGACAAATCATTTATTATTGAAAATTTAAATTATGTATATATAACTAGCTGTCGCGGGCACCTGCTAGTTTATTAATAATATATAAGTGCCTATGTTTATAAGCAGTCTGGTTACCACAATATAGGTTTCACCTACTTCGATATCAGACTGCGGTGTGTGAGGTGTCAAAATTAATGTCAATAGTCACGCATACGTTCTGTAAATAAAATAAGCACGTTCATATTTATACATGGCCATTATTCGTATTATTGAAACGCTAATACCGACATTTGAATATTATTAAACAAGCCTTTAGTAAGTTAATTGGATATACATATGAGTAACAGAAATAGTTCGTGCACGAATTTTATTAATTAATATCCGTTAACTAATCATATAATGCACGGGAAGGTTGTACTTTACTGAACGATACTTAATAATTTTAGTTCAAGAACCTGACCGATCCCGGGCCTGGTGAGCCGGGAGAGGGTTCTAAGTCCCTACCGGTCCAACTTCGCCCCGCTCCGTACCGCCGCGACTACGTTCGTGGAATTTGAGAATCGCTGCCTTGGTGGGTTCGATTCCCGGGCCGGGCAAAATTGTATAGGGTTTTTCTGAGAAGCAAAATAGCCTAAGTCACTCTAAGGAGTATAAGTATGGACAGTTCCTCTTATTAAAATATAAATAAAATCGGTCCAGCGGTTAAGAAGACTACCCGAAACAAACACACAAACAGACAGAAAAAAAACTGGTTTTTAGGCATAAGTATAGTGCAAATAACCGTGTAAGCATGAAAAAACCTATTATTTTGATATTACAAACAGACACTTCAATTTTATTTATTTGTAAAGAATATAGAACCGAGTACGTATAGATTATAGATATCCGTTAACTAATCATATAATGCAAGATAAGGTTGTACTTTACAGAACGATACTTCAATCATTTCAGCTCAAGGAACTGACTTTTGTGAGCAATCAAGTAATCTCGTTGTGACCATCTCGAATTATTGTGAAAAAGTATAGATATTTACTTACACTTTATAAAAATGATTTCCCACACAACACACTGCACCCATTCAAAAAAAGGAAGCCATATTTAAAAATAATTGAAAACGTTCTTTTTGTTGTTACTTAATACTTTTTCAATACAATAACATTAACGCTGAAAGTTGACTGGAAACTTAAATGTTAACAATAACAAGGTATAGTAACGAGGCCTAGTCACTGAGGCCTCGTTACCATTTAAAAACTTAACATAATATAATATACATATAATGATAAAATATTATAAGAACTTTATACAACAAACAATGTTTTTTTCACTTTACCTAAATACTTTTCAAATTCTGACCCGCTTAAAGTTTATGCGACTAGACTTTAAAATGGAATAATCGATCATTAAAAACGAATCTGCGTTCACATGACGTAAACTGGAATGCTATTAGAGCGTAGTATTAGGCAACGGCATAGTAAAGAAGGGGCAAACCCAAGCTTGCATAACACAACCATGACTAACGTACTGTACTATGCGTAGGAGAGAAATAAGGTCGTTAGAGGTCAACATGTGGACATCGAAAGAGGGAGCGCGTCTATTTATATATTAAAGTGCTTCTTTATCAATGTTCTGTTTACCGTTTAAATTCGGTGACTTGCATGTTTCTCTTGTTATATTGAATCATAAGATAATTTGGTCCATGAAAGCGCTGCAGAGCTGACTAAGATAAAGGTGTTTTTACGGTATGGGGAGCAAACAGAAGTGTCACCTAATAGAAAATGACTACCGCCGGCCATGGGCAGTGAATCCAGAGTAAGGGGTTGGTCCTCAATTAACTGAACTCATTTGGTGAAAAGAAACAAAAGAATTCTTTAAAACCGGTTTTTTTTTGTGTGGACGTGGTATTACTTCGGTCGAACCGACCCATATATGCTGAAAAATGGTACTCCCACGGTAGACTATTTCTAGTAGTCATCATCAGCCCTTAATAATCCACTGCTGGACAAAGGCCTCTGTTTAGAAAGGAGGTTTTGACCTACTATACAACGCTGCCCAGGCGGGTTGGTATAGGGTTTGTGTCAAGTTTTCAATGAATAGGGGTGGTAACACTCCGTATTCTTAATCCGTCACCACACGGACATGCATATGTGACACTTCTATTAGTAATGCAATTATAAGTATACAAACCATCTACGATGAGACATCGTTGACAATGTTAGTAAAGTAGTAATGGCCGAGACAAAGGCTCGGCATAAAGTCCATAAAGAAAAGGCAACGAAACAGAGTACATCAATTGACTACGAATCTACTTACGTGTTTCATTCCAAATAATTCCGTCCAGGAATGACTACTACTGATTCGTTTATTTGTATACATTCAAACAATGCAGTCAAAATAACCTTTGTTGCAGTAAGTGAATGAATACAAGAGACACTTTATTCGTTCAATCAATCATTCATGTCATTCAACCCGAGTGGAGGCCGCGCGTTGCATTTAATGGCTCATTCAAGGTTTCAAATAGCAGCTTATTTGTATTTTATGTAGTCCTGGTACAAAAAATCTCTAAAATATTACAAGATACATGAAATGCTCACGTAGATGGCATCAGAAGCGACTGTTATAGACTTTTGTGTGTCACTCTTGATCAACGTAATGGATTATAAAATTTCCGGCATGCAATTGTAGTAGAATAACCTGTTTGATCTCGTGTGATCCTAGTCGTATGCATTCATGATGTCAATAGATTAATGAAACTCGTTTAACTGATTCACTTTAGCTAAACCCTCTCTAATACGGGAATTTATTTTTACTCCACTGTTATGTTTTAGTCACAACTGAAAACGAAAGGGGAAACCATAAATGAGGAAGTAAATAGAAAACATGGTAGCTTTACCATCTGTTCTACAATGGAAGCAAAACGTAAATGCGTTTCCGTAATGACTCACGAAACAGGCTCATTACTTCATTAGTCTGCAGGATTGTGTTCAATGAGTTTTATTTGTGACCTATGTACAAAGAGAATAGAATTTTGCTGTTTCATTTTACATGATACATATTTTGTTTGACTTTTGCCTTTTTTCTACTATCTATAATACATTATGTGCTATAAAACCGAATATTGGTCGCTCTTTGCTGAAACTGACCAGGTTAAATTAAAAAAACTAAGTTTCTACGGAATATCAATTTCTATGAAGAAACTCGATTAACGATAATTGATTCGGATGTAAGTTTAAATAATGAAAATAACCACATTTGGGTAGTTATCAGGGGTAGCTCAGTTTTCCCTGGCTATTAGTACCCGAGACGGCGTGCGGTTTTAGTCGGTTCGAGTCCGACATGCCAACGATAGGTGGTATCCGAGGGGATTTCCGCACGGAAAAAAAAAAGGGGTCGCTCAGTAGGAGTTCTGAATGAAGACGCCTAAAAAATGAACATTGTATTCCTTTTGCTGAATGGTTATAAGTTGTTACGTTAGCCTATACAATTAAGACGTCTCAAGGTGAAGAATTTTACAATCTATAGGTACTTTCTCCACCTATGTTTCACTACCTAACAGGTAGCAACATCACAAAACCGACCAATTGTGAGTTGTACGCATTATTTTAGTGATGTAACGAGTGTTGATATTACACGCAATGCGAATGCTAAAATTTTTGAAATGTTTCATATTTTACGTCAGTTTTTTATTGATCTGGAGTAGTGATAAAAGTTAAAAAAAACATTATAAATATAGCGACTGCCGAGTTGAAGACCGCTAAGTTTATATGCCTAGGTAATTTGTCCCTGAGTATTATAAAATTCTTTAACTTTAAATGTTTAAATTGTATTACTTGCTTTACTTTTGGAGTTTTAATATTTTAATTAACTAACGAGAAGAGAAAGTATTCTCAAGCACTATAATTCATACACGTATCTATATTATAATCTCTAAAAAAATAAATTTCATATCCATACATAATTCATCACATTTGCTAAACTTTTCTTTTACTCGAAATGAAATCGAAGTATGAAATATAGTAAACTATCTTCGCGGCTCGGCCCTCGTGTATGTAGCCTATATCCTTTCCCGCAACTCAAACTATCTCTATACCACGTTTCACCTAAATCGGTTCAACGGTTATTGATTCCCCATTCAAACTTCACCCCTCTTTTCACCCCCTTAAAGGATGATTTCTGGGATAAAAACTATCCTATGTCCTTTCCCGGACCTTAAAATTTCTCTGTAACAAATTTCATCCAAATCGCTTCAGCGGTTTAAGCGTGAAGAGGTAACAGGCAGACAGACAGACACACTTTCGCATTTATAATTTTAGTATGAATTATGCGAATATTCGAGGATGAGAATATTCTTTACATCACCACCACAACCACAAACCTTCTCATTTAATATTATTACACATTGTGTAGTATGCATTTTTTTTCTTTGGCCTCCAGAAGTGACCTTTATATTTGAATGTATTTATTTACGGTGTACAGTTATATAAGGGTTCCGATTTTTCATTCGGGTTCAGGCAATTCTTGAAATATACACTTTTTTACACAGCAGATGTCCCGTTAGCTGCCAAGGCGAGGGGATATCGGTCGACAAATTTTTGAGGGGATATTGTTTTCGAAACCTAATATACTAAGTGATACCTATAAAATTGCCTTTGTTTAAAAAAACACCACTTTTAAAGTCGACATTGGTGAAGTTTTTACTGCGATGGCGCCACCATATTATCGGAACTAGTATTCCAAAATAACCTATAATTTGGATTTTCAAATTTTCACTGGATACGGGGAAATAATTTATTGTTCATTTATTAAATTTTGTGCTGATTTCTTAAAAAAAAAACATGAGTCAGTGTTGCCATGGGTCAGCAATTTCAAGGACCTAACATTAGGTCCCAAGGCGCCAAAAGCAGGTAGGGAGTTATGTACAAACCTGGGAGTATTCAGGAGAAGGTGGTCTCGGTGGATACTTGGAGGCCATGCGCGCGCCGGCACCACAGCCTTGCGCTGCTGCAGGCTCATCCTCGGGGTAATAAAGATGCACGAAATCCTCCGTGTCCAAAAACGTATTGATCAGCATAATCCACACAGTATAAACACTAACTAATAAATAATTTCCAGTCTAAGAATCAGACTTTATGAGCACTATACACTAGTTTAACTTTAAATCACTGGTATAGGAAGCACGCCATCGATACGCATGAGATTTGTAACGTTCCATGGTTTGAGTCCTTAATAAGAAAATATATTTAAGTAATAAATAAGTTATTAATATTCACTACACTGGTATACAATCACATTTGCACCGTTCACACGTACAGTTATCTAATGGAAATAAAATAAAATGAATGGATGAGAACAGAAACATTCTAGATTTAACCCCAGAGGGTTTTACGACGAACGTGAGGCATAGGCTTTTTTTATTAACACTTTTTTAAATATTTATCAACCAATAATCAAAACATACAGTTTCTGTAAGTTCTAACGCTAGTTAATGTCTATTGAGCAGTGACAAAAAGTATAATAAAAATGGCTACTATCGCTTTTGACACGACTGTTGTGGTTGTTATCGCTCAAACGAGGTTTTCATTTTCGTTTATCAGTTGTGAGTACAGCTGTTTAAAGGCCACCCACAGAAAGCAGTGGCACGAGCGTTATCTATAGAAAAAATATATCAAATGAAGTTATAATAACAGTCAAAAGATCATTGTATTATATATTATTATCGAAATAGTGTATTGCAACAGGTCTTCAATCACAGCCATTGCGGATAAAATTGCACTTACATAATGGCGCTTTTATCATTTTAAGTATGGCAAGCGACATTTTTATTTAACAGAGGCCGATAGCATTGTTTTTTTTTTGTTGACATATTTTGTAACCTCTGATAACATATTTACAGCATGCTTAGTGATAATAAAATATAGCATGCGTAAAGCATTACTTGATATCCACCTATTGTTAGACTTCAAACTGTAAAATTTATTATTGGAGTTCCATTGTTGATAGATAAAGGGAAATCTTCACACGTTAACGGGAAAACTATTCAATATTCAACGTTGTTGACATATTAGTCACATTTTTAATCGATAAAAATATACTAGGTGAATATCATCTGATAAGAATTCTCCCAGTGCGTATGTTCATTTTAACCGTAACAGTAGTGTCAAAGCTGTGGAATTTTAGGTAATGAGTACATTCGCACTAGTGCAAAGTTGTTAGGCGCCATTCATAATAATATGGTGTATCGCACTAGTTATCTGCTACATCTGAATTGAAGCGTTAAACGAGAGGTATGTGTCGTATTTTTTTTTTTTTGAAACAGGAGTTGTTTAGGTAAGGATTTCTCATTAAATATAATGTATTTAAAAAAGGACACTTTCAACAGAGATTTTGCGGTACTGTCTTTTGTTCCTTCCATGGATTCGCCAGCTAAAAATATTTTTTATATCTTAGGACCGTACCTTTTTTATGGATGAAATATCTTACTTTTAAAAAGTACAGGGTTACAGAGAAGAAGCTACGTGTCTGTACTTCTGCTAACCAGTTGTCAGGGATACGCAGGATAGTATATCTGACAACGTACATGAAACATTTCGTGATGATCGGATGATTAAGAAATACGAAGAAAATAAACATCATTTTTTATGTATTAGCACTAGATCTTTAAATTTAGAACCGTAAGATAGAAGGCTATTGAATGCAGAATGTGGTAACAATCACTTCATCGGTTACATCAGAAGTGATTGAAATGGTTCTTAGTTTTGAATGGATCGAATCTTTTTACAAACTTCTGTCACTTGCAGTACTATAGGAGCCCTAATTATTATGTATACATACATGAACAATGCGCTGACGTCAACAAAATACTCAAAACAGACACTTATTATTCTGCTATCTGAAACCAAAACACTCGCTTTTCTTATTGTCTTGTGTTTCTTTGTTTACTGTCATTCAATAGCATATTTGTTATTATTGACAAATAAAGATGCACTTTACACAATTCACAGTCGACGGGTCATTGACCACGGCGGATATGGGATCATCTATTATATATTTATTTATGACTCTTGTATTGTTCTAATACATAACTAGATTCTCATTAAGCGGCTCTAGAACTGATTGAATGAATGACTAATAAATATTCTTTAGGTGGCATAAAATGTTGGTAAATATTTTCCACTAATTAATAAACCAATTAAAAGTACAAAATACATTGTATTGTGTGTATAATGAGGAATAACATTTTTTAAGGCACTAACTTTTAAATGGTTACTGGCTGTATCGATTTTGAAGTCCAGATGAAATTATTAATAATTATTATACAATAATATACTAATCGCATGCGGATTTCGGCTACGGTAACTGTTTATGTTTGGGGGTATAAGTTTCAGTGGGGCGTGTGCTCTGATGAGACCCCCCACTAAGTGGATGTCTTCTTAGAGTTTGGGTGCTTTTATATGTACCTATTTATTCTAAACTATAAATGGTATAGAACAAAAAAATTCTTAAACGCGTGCGTGAACTAAATTTAGGTAATTTAATTTCCGTTTTAGTTTTTTTGCAGTACATTTTTCAATCCATTCTGTCGTAATGGCTCCTACCGACATTGATAATTATAATTTTAATAGATCCTGAAATCCAACTTCCGGTTGTTTAAATTAACTTTTTCGAATACCAGGTAATAGGGTTTGTGAAAGGAACAGGAGGTACTATAGCAATCTCATAAATGCTCAACGGACGTTTGCTCCACTTTCAAGACGGGATGTCGTCATAAAGAATGCGGTCATCGGCGCCTAATCGACAAGTGCAACATCTGCAAGCCTATGTAACCCTGGTTTATCTATACTAATATTAGAAAGCTGGAAGAGTTTGTTTGTTTGATTGAACCTCAGGAACTATTGGTTCCAATTAAAAATATTTTTTGGGGATATCCAAAAGATAGCCTTTTTGTCGAGGAAGGCTTTATAGCATCACGCTACCACCAATAGGAGCCAAGCATGAATGCAAAATGTTGCAAAAACGGGGCAAATTTATTTATTGAGAGACGCGCACGGTGTTGCGCGGGTCAGCTAGTGATTATCCAAAATATTGCTGTCAACAACATTACTAATAAATATGATTGTAACGCATAGGTAAGTATTTATGAAAATGGAAATTAAATATGTTGTCACAAGAAATGACAAACTGAAGATAATAGACAGACATTTAATTAACCTCAAATACAATCATCAAGGTCTATTGACACAGCAATCATTCTCAATTGAATTTTTTTACCAATTTCAAGCTAGAATTTACAAAATTAAATTGTGTGAATAATTCAATGAAAGTACAATAGTTTGCCGGTGATTACAAAATAATAAGTGAGGTCACTAAAAACATTTTTTAATACTTTCTGTTGCTACTTGTAATTAAACAATAATACCACGTTTTTAACACAACCAAATTATGCAAGGTAAAGTACTTAAGTATAAACATTGAGTAAAGGCATGCCACTGACGGAAGTCTAAATAGGAAATATAAAGGTTTAATGAAATCAATAGATAGAAACGAGCAAAGCGGCCCCCGTATCACATTCCAGAACCGCAAACTCGCGTAGTTGTACTCGCCAGCATTCTCATACGAAAAGCTTCAAAAGCATTTTAACACCCAACAAATTATATTTCCGCACGAAACACACTCTTAGATCTTAGAAAACAGGGCTTTTTGTGTAAGAAATGGATGGTCATTGTAGAGTTAAGTTAGTTGCGGTTTGTTTTACGGCATTACTTACACGAGCCACTATGTTCTAATTGACAGGCAGTTTTGTAACAAAGTCAAGATAAACTGGGATATTATCTTATGGATAAAAAATAAATAGAGTAAACGAATAAGGAAAAATGATACTATATTAAAATTCATAGTTAGACTTGCTTATAAGGAAAAATTCCTTACTAAAACGTATGTACACATACGTCGTAAAGTGACAACCCATTTTTTGAAGTTTCATCACGTTTCAGTCCTAAATTTTAATTTATTTGTTGTAATAGTGTAGAAAAAGTTGTTAAAAGCCTACAATCCTTTATAAGAATTAATTTATAAACAGGAAAAAATAAGTCGATTAGTCGAATAAGTATAAATAAGTCGATTCTCTAAATAATCGCAAAGCAGCATTTAAATTTTAATATTCATAAAGTCAAAATATTAAAATCGATTTAATACTTTGATCCTCGTTTTCCAGCAACGATGTCTCAATAGAGACCATGAGTACACAATGAGAACACCGTGTCAGACTGTGCACAATGTTTTATGCGTGTCGGCCTTCGAACATATTAGCACTATCTATTGAACGGATCATCAAATTGATTGAACCTTTCATTTGTCACGGACACTGGTGATTGTTTGTCAGACTTCGCAGATTAGTAATCGTTGACAGATGTTGGATGTGACAGCCATAGCATGTCGTAGCTTTGTAATGTAGACATAGACAGATTCTGTGACTTAAACCAATCTCAAGTTTAATAGCGTACTGAGATTGAGAACAAGACGTGTTAAATTTCATTAAGTATCTATTTCAATAACCAACTGGTAGGTATTTCATCGAATCAAATCAATAAGTCTAAAAGTAAACAGCCTTGACAGTTGTTTACAAATTAAAATGTATTATTCAAAGGATAAAAGCTTTGATTAAGTACATATTGTATAATTTATTGTTATCGCATTCATTACATTTATCCGAATAGTTACAATGCCACTAATTAAAGACAGTAAATTCAATAAAAACATAATTGACCTGTAACAATAATAATTAACTCTATTAAATTGCAAGTCTAGTTAATAGCACTAAACTAAAACTATAATAGTGATATATATGAGTATATTGAACTTTGAACTATTACAGATTCTGGACAGATACCACTTAATTACAACCACATACACATAACGAATAACTACCCTTTCATTAAATCGATTAATTTAATCAATGAAAGCGACTGATATACAACCTTCTGATGTAGGATAATAACATATCATAACATTAACAGCCTTTAACAGTCCACTGGTGGACATAGACCTGTCCTTAAAAAGGAGGTTTTGGCCTAC